ACTAGAATTCATGGCGTTGATGGTCGGTATTCGAGTTATGGAAATAGTCAAACCTGTTTTTCCAGATCACAAAATTGTATTGTTCACAGATTCGAAAATAACAAAAGAAAGATTCCTAAAGAATCCAAATAAATTGAAGCCTCACTTGGGAATCCAAATACTTCAAACAAATAAATACAAGTTCGAATTATGTCATGTCAAAGGAAAAGATAATCCGGCTGATATCGCAAGTAGAGGAACAACATGTGAAAAATTGAAAAGTTGCCAATTGTGGTGGAACGGACCACATCAAATAAGTGAAACGACAACATTCAAAATCCATATTGAAGAAAGACAAGAAAATACCATCTTGCAACAGTTCTTTCAAATTCTAATTAAGCAGATAAATTTCAATAAGGCGTGCAGATGGCTAGCAAAAATCGCTAAATGGTTAATGGCAGCAAACAATCGTTATCAACAAAAAACTGAAAAACAAATAGCACAGGTATGGTTCCTTCGATGTTGTCAATACCAATCATGGAAAAATCTGGAAGAAGATTTAGAATGTAATGAACGTACCATGTGGCAAAATTTCGTCGTGTTTAAAGATGATGATGGTATATTAAGAGTTCGTACTCGAATCGGAAATAATCCAATGTTTACATATTCAGAAATCAATCCTATTCTATTAGAAGGAGAAAATCAACTCACTAAATTGATTATTGATGACATCCACAAAAAAGGACATTTATCGATACAAAGAATGCACGTTGAATTGAGACAAAAATATTGGATCACAAAAAAGAGTCGAATAATCAAAAATATTGTTAACACATGCAAAATCTGTCGAATTTTAAAAGCAAAACAATATGACGCTCCAGCAGGTGATTTACCAATCGCACGAATATCGAAAGGAATTCCGTATGAAACGATCGGTATGGATCATTTTGGACCAATACAAATCAAAGTTACGGATTACAACGGCAAAATTTACGTCTTATTGATTATTTGTTTGAAAACTCTGAATGTCAGTTTAAAAGTTGTCAAATCGTTGACTACGGAAGAAAATTGGAATGCAATTCGACGTTTTATGAATGATTTTGGATACCCATCATTGATATTGAGTGACAATTCAAAAACGTTTACATCAATAGGAAAAATGTTTAATAAATATGACAAAGAACATGGAACTTTGTCAGCGAAATGGCATCACATAACGGCTTATTCACCGTTTCGAGGCGGACTATGGGAAAGAGCCGTAAGAACGGTTAAAGAAACTATGCGAGCTATGTCTTTCAGCAAATCATATAAATTCGAAGAATTTGTGTCATTAATGTCAGATATACAGTATATTGTAAATTCTAGACCGGTTGCAATAGAAGATGGGTTACCGATAACACCATTAATGATGTTCAGAGGTGGAAAAAACGAAGAAATAGTCGACATTACATCAGCCTGGATGGTAAAAGAACATAAAGAGTTAAAAGATATTTGGAAACAACGTAATGCAAATTTGAAAATATTGTGGAACGTTTGGATTAACAAGTTATTTCTTCATAATCCTACATATATACAAACAAAAGATTGCAAAAAATCTATGGTTCCAAAAGTTGACGATTTAGTATTGTTAAAGAATCCATCAAAAAGTATTGGTCAGTACCAGATTGGACGTATTGTTGAATTAATTAATGGAACGGATGGAGTCGTTCGGACGGTAATTGTGAAGACTGCAGATGGATCTACCAGAAGAGCAATTCAAACGTTGCTTAAAATTAATCCTGATGAATAACATTAATTTTCTATTTTCTATTCGTTATTATTCAACAATTTTCATTATTCGTTATTCTTTTTTTTATCTCATTGTTATAATTCTCTATATTGTATCATTTATAGTCTTGTTCTTTATTCTAGGGTTGGAGAATGTTGCAAAAAGCAACTAAACTTATACAACGTTTATGAACGGACCAAAAGAAGAGCGTGTTTTTTAAAAGAAACATGCTTAAAAAAATAAATGTATCATTATTCAGCTACATTTTGATTTGTTAACACGAATTAAAAATAAAAATATTAAATAAAAAAATAATTGTTTTTTTTTTAATTGTGTTGTTGCAAATATTTTTTTTGTATTGCAACATTTTTGGCTCCGATGATTTGAATGCCTGTCGAAGAAGAAAAAGAAAGACGAAATACGAGGGCTTATGCTCTGTTATTGAATCGAATAAAGATGATATCGAAAGAATTCGAAGATATATACTTCAGCTATATGTTGGGCGAGCAAGTTGATGTACAAAAAGTTTCTGAAATATTTATGAAATTTAAAGAATCCGAGGGTGAGAGCAACGATGAAAATATTGAAAAGAAGAAAGAAATTGAAAACAAATATCGAGAAATAATCGAAATTGAATCTACCGTACGTTTGCTTCAACAAAATATCGAAAAATTTAAAAATCAAAGTACCGAAAAGCAAAAATTAAGAATCAAAAAGTTTTATGATGAATCGAAAAAAGTAATACCGAACAACATGTTACTATTGAAATTCTCCGATGTAATGGACAATGCCGAAGATATAATCGAAACAATAGAAATCGTCGCAGATCAAAATATGATTAAACAACAAAATAAATATCAATCGATGCCAAATATAAGTCAACTTAAGTTAGATGATCAATCTGGTTCAGAAATCTCAAGAAACAATAGTGTACCAAAATTAAATTCAACAGATGAAACTTCATTCAATCAACAACTAATAAATCTAGTATCAACGTCGTCTGTGAAAAACGAACCGATTAAAATTAACGAATTTCATAATAAAAGCAACGATATCAAAGCTGAAATGAAACGTAAGGAAATATATAATATGCAAAAAGGAAACAATTGGTTCGATGGAGATTACCTGCAATATCATCGTTTCAAAAAGCGGGTAGATAAAGCATTCGAAAATATGGAATTCAATGACGATGAAAAATTAGATCTATTGAAAAATGTGATTAAAGGACGACCATCCAAAATCATTGAACCTGTTACTACATTTCAAGAAGCGATAGAAACATTAGATCGAGTATACACTCGTGTTGATTATCAAAAAACAACAATCAAAGAACAACTTGGTACATTGACAAAAATCAATAGAATCGCAGAATTCCGAAGGAACAATACATTTATTGAAACGGTGCATGGTTGTTTTGAACAATTGAAACGAATTCTGCCAAATGAAAAAGATTCATTCTTCACCGACTGCATACGAATAATCTTGTCTAAGCTTCCTCAGGAAACTATGACTGAATTTACAAAAATAGATGAAGACATGACGCCAGATAAATTCATAAAATTTCTAATTCAACAAGAATCAATAGCAGAACGATGGGATAAATGGGAGAGTAATCCCCAAATCAATAATAAAAATAGTCGTGTCAATGTCATCAGACCTGATGAAACAAGAATCTATTGCAAATTTCACAACAACAATCAACATTCATCAACACGGTGTGATTTGACAAATGATGAAAAAGTAAAGATAATTCAACAGAAAAATTGGTGTAAAAAATGTGCAACGTATCACAAAACTAAAGAGTGTTTTCGAAAAAATCTGAAATGCAATTTCTGCGGTGAAGATCATTTGACATACATGCATGAATTAATGAATTATACAACAAATGAAAAATCAGCTGATTCCGGTGAAACAAGAATAAAACAACATGTACAATCAACAAAAATTGCAATTAATAAAAGTGAATTATCTTATGCAGAAACTGCTACGGCAACAATTGTAGCCAATAACAAATCTGAAGATCTTCGATTAATAATAGATTCAGCTAGTGATTTTAGCTTTATCGATAAAAAATTTGTCGAAAAATTGAATCTTAAAACATTTGAAGCTGGTATTTGTCTAGTGTTACGCGGCATCAATCAATCTGAATCACCAAAAAGATCATCAACGTTTACATATTTGCAATTTAATGGTGGTCATAATAGAAATATGATTCGAATCAAGTTCTTTATCGTTGATGATTTAGCTGAAGCACTTGGGTATTCATCAAATCCATTCGATTTACGACATATCATGCCAGATGAAATAATATCGAATCTAGCTGATAATTCAAATAGAAAATTACAAGCATTAATTGGGCTGGACCAAAGACATAAAATTTATCGACAAAACACCATAAAAATTATCGATAAATATGTAATAATTGATACAATCTTCGGTTTCATGATATCGGGAAACGAATCGACGAAATCACGAACTACAAGAATCTTTGCATGTAAAATTGAAGAAGATTACGAATTCAAGTCAGCAGATGAAGAATTCGAAATTCATAATCAACCAGAAATTCAAATGAATCAATACATTCAAGATTATAAAACAAACAAAATAATGATGAGCGAAAATAATCGTTACGTTGCTTCATTATGTTGGATACCGAAATTCAAAGATCTAATCACAAACAATGAATGGTATGCAATTATGCGACTTCAACAGCTGCTAAAAATGTTAAAACGACGAGAATTATTGGTCGAATATGATAAAAAATTCAAAGAAATGATCAATGGTGGATATATCGTAAAAACAGATCGAAGTGAATTGCATTATTTTCTGCCACATCGACCGGTAATAAAATCTGAAAGATCAACAACTAAGTTGCGTATAGTAAAAGATGGAACCTTCAATTTGAAAAATCAAACGTCTATTAATCAAGCACTTTATAAAGGAGTTGTTGAAGCGGATGTGATGAAAACGCTTATCCGATTTCGTGCAAAGAAAATTGGCATAACATCTGATATCGAAAAAGCATTTTGGCAAATTAAAGTAGATGATCAAGATCAAAAATATCTTGGGCTTATATGGATCGATGAATATGAAAAATTTCAGTATTTTCGCATGACTGTTGTTCCTTTTGGATTGACCTGTTCGCCATTCATACTACAATCAACCATACAAAAACATTGTGAAGACACAAAGCTATATCCAGAGATATCAAATGAATTAGCGTCGAAATTTTATGTTGATGATTACGTTAACAGCATGGATAATCTTCCTGATGCGATCGAAAATAAAACAAAAATCCAAGAAATATTGAAAGAAGCCAGTTTCAACATCAGAAAGTGGACCATGTCAGGTGATAATGTAGAACCTGTTCGTGTTTTAGGAATATGGTGGAATCCTCAAACCGATGAAATATATCTAAATGAACCAAAATTTGAAATACCAGTTAAAATCACTCGAAGATTTATTCAATCGATATGTGCAAAATTATTTGATCCACTTGGAATAATAGCACCGGTGAAAATTTTATTGCGTGAATTAAATCGAAAAGCATGTCAATTAAATTTAGATTGGGATGACGAAGTGCCCCAAGAAATGAATGACATTGTCCAACAAACTATTAAAAATATCGATGAATTATTTGAAACTATCAAATTGCGACGAACGATTATAAAATCAAATTCAATTTTGATATATTGTGATGCATCAGCTACAGCATACGGAGCAGTAGCGTATTTGGCAAATAACGAAGAAAAATTATTGTTACTATCAAAAAATTATTTATCAAATAAAACAACGATACCTGAACTAGAATTCATGGCGTTGATGGTCGGTATTCGAGTTATGGAAATAGTCAAACCT